TCAGCACCCCCTCTGCCCCCTCTTTTGGAAGAATCAGGAACCAAAAGCAACCTGTGTTTCTTCGGCCAGACAGAGTTGAAACTGGGAACCAAAAGCAACCTGTCTTTCTTCGGCCAGACAGAGTTGAAACTGGGAACCAGAAGCAAGGAGCACAGAGGCATGGCTTCAAATTAACTCTGTCTCGAGGCCAATTGGACATCACAATACCCAATCCTGGCTAATCCTGCAAAATTCCTCTGGAAAACAGTGGTGTTACATATGTTACAGTATGGGCCTCCAAAACTCTGTGCACTGCTGCATTCTGGACCAATTATAGGTTCTAAATATTCTTAAAGGGTGATCAAGAAAAGGTAGTACTTGGTGCACCAATGAAGTTGTGCAAAGGGTCTCTTAGCCATGATTGCCACCTGTTCTTCAGGCAGGAGTCGTGAGTCTAGAAGAACCCCCCAAGTTGCGCACTGGGTCTGTTTGTGGTAGTACCATCCCATCCAGAACTAATGATAAACTTCCAGATCCCAAGACTTCACTTATCCATAACCACTTTTATCTTATTAGGGTTCAGCTGAAGTCCCCCATCTAGGCTCCTGCAACATCCAGGTACCATGAAAGGGCAGCCACAAGCAAGTATGAGCAATGAGACAACTTTCAGCTATTCAGGAATTGTTAGGTAAATATTTAGAATGACCCCATGTCTCGCTTTAACCCACTTATTTAGGACTGCTCAGTAACATAGTGTTTTGTAATATCTGAATGTCTCATTTGAATCCAAGGAAAGTGACACAGGCTTAAAAATAACCTTAGAAAAATAAACTATAGGAAACAAATTGCTTTCCTTGCTAAATACCACTACTGCAAGAAGTTTCTTCCCATTAAATTACTGTAGAAGAAGAAGATTATTATTTTAACTGCATATCAGCCTTCAAGTTGGAAAATGAAAAATTTCATGGCAGGTGAAATACCCGAATCACTTAGCTCCTGCAATGGAACTAATACAAACCTTGTATGTATTTAAACTCCATTTTCTTACAAGCTCCAGTTTTTCCATAGCTGGATTCTTTACTTCCTCTGCTAGAACAACGGGTCCACTTTTCTGCTGCATTCTTGGATTGCCTATTTGGAAATCACAGGTAAGTGAGTCAAAGCTTATTTAGAGCTCTTTAAATGTATTAAAGAAAGATAAGACTTTATTTTCAGCATCGCACAATAATTTGATTATGGTAAAGTCTGAAAAATAGCATTACTTGCATTTAAATCACAGCTAGCAGTAAATTAGAATTAAGCAACTGCAAAATATTCTGCAGGATTCTCATGTTTTGTTTCCATGAAGGGACAATTAAATATTAAATATAAATAATTCTTCCAGAAATGTACAGAAAGGCACATCATCCCTTCTATTTTCATCACATGCTCATGTTCTACTATCAGGCCACTCCTTTCCAGAGATGTAAAGCAACCATGAATCAAAAGCTATGTTTTGTGATAAGGACTGAGAGATTCAGCGCATGGCCGCTCCTTTGTGGCATTCTGCAGGGCTCAGTACTCTCCCCACTCCTTTTTAACATCCCCAGGAAGCTACTGGATGAGATTATTCGCTATCAAGGGTTAAGGTATCATCAATATGCAGCTAATACTCAACTTTACATCTCCACCCTTAGTGACCAATTGCTGCTGGTGCTGCCTTCTCACAATGCCTGGAAGCTGTGGAGTCCTTGATGGAGGTCAACAAGCTTCAACTAAACCCTGGCAAGACTGAACAACTTTGAGAGCATGGAGCTCCGAGTTCTGGGTCTCTTTAACATCTTTAGTTCTGGATGGGGTTGCACTACCCCGAAAAAACCCAGTGTCCTACTTGGGGATAATCCTGGACTCTCAACCCCTGTTCAAAGAGCAAGTGGCAGTCATGGTCAGAAGAGTCTTGGTGCAACTTCCTGTTGTGCGCCAGTTGCATCCATTCCTGGATTGGGACTTCCTGCGCTCAGTCACTCAAGCCCTAATCATCTAAGACCTGGATTACTATGCTCTACATAGGGCTACCCTTGAAGAGTATTGGGAAGCAACAACTGGTGCAGAATGCAGCAGCATGGAAAGTTGTTTCTTGGGATTCTCAGACAGGCTCATGTCACACTGCTGCTCTGCAGGCTACAGAGTTTCTTCTTCTGGGTGCAATTCAAGGTTTTGGCAATTTCCTTTAAAGCCTTGTAGGGTCTGGGTCTAGATCACAGGTGTCAAACTTGTAGCATCACATTTCTGTCATGTGATGTTTCACAATTTTTTTCCTTCATGGACTGGGTTGGGCGTGGCCTGCGTGTGACACATCCAGCCCATGGGCCGTCAGTTTGACACCCCTGGTCTAGACTATCTGTGGAACTGTTCAACCCAATGGGATCAGTGATGCATCAATTATGATTTATGCCTCTGTATGGTTAAAACAATATTGAGTATAATGTATAAATCCAACAACATATGAAGAAATGATTAATGGAAATATACCATTTCCAATGTTGCAATGTTACCAAAATATAACATTCTGGAATGCATGACAGAAACCTGGATTTTACTTTAAATCAGATTTCCAAATTTGCTTATCATACTTTTGTGGGTGATTCAATTATTCCGCATTAGTGTTTGTATGTTCTGTTAAGATGTATAGGACATACACAGATAGATAGGAAACCTTTTTCATCCTGAGAGTTGCATGGCAGGTGTGCCCATCTTTGTCAAGGAAGCAAAAACCAACCTACAAGTGGATACAGCAATCCAACACACACATATGTACATATTTACCCACTTAAGTGTTTGTGTGCATTTATCCACTCAAGTGTTCCACTGATGCCAAGGACTAATTTTTAGGTGGGGGGGTCATAGATAAACAACTCCTTCCTCAGATGCTATCTCTTCTGACATTTTTCTAAGTAAAATTTACCACTTAAATGATAAAAAAGGAAGGCCTCTTTTTAAAGCTCATCTATTTCAAGTGTAAATTGAAAATCAGTCATTCAAAGCACAAGAAGCTGGAGACATTTTTGTTCCAAAGTGACTCCAGTGACTGCTACAAATACATTGTTATGAAAGGGAAAATACCTATGATTTATTCTATTAGAAAACATTAGAAGCACAATTACATATCAGAATAATTGAGTTTTTCAAACCAGATTCATACTTCTTTATGGCTTAATATCTTTTAATTTGTTTTCCATCATCCTCAAAATTAAATTATAGCAATGTAATTCAGCTATACATAGATGTCAATGGAACAAGTAAAGTAAAGTTTGGAATATTACTACAAATAAAGATAGCAAACTTTAGGTAGAGGAAGTTTTCTTCATTTTAGAATTTGGTATTACAAATTTAAGAAAAATCTTCAAATATGAAATGAGATTTTGATATTATAAAACAGTATCTTTGCTCCAATTTGAATGACTGATTCCAATATAATATTAAGGTATTATGGTTCTATTTTTGGTAGTATATTGTAGATTCCAAAATAGTGTATTTTAATCCTCAACATTTTTAAAGGGTAAAAGTAAAGGTTTCTCCTGTCCAATCGTGTCCGATTCTAGGGATCAGTGCTCATCTCCATTTCTTAGCTGAGGGAACCAATGTTGTCTGAAGACACATTTTGTGGTCATGTGGCTATACATCAAGGTGCACAGAAAGATTACCTCCCCACCAAAGTGGTACCTATTTATCTACTTGCATTGTGTGCTTCTCAACTGCCATGTTGGCGGGAGCTGGAGCAAGTAATAGGAGCTAATCCCATTGTGAGGTGCTTGGGTTTTGAACTGCGGAGTCATCGCGCTCCCTGTCAGTATTGTTTAATATCCACATAAAACCGGTGACTAAAATATCATCAATATCTAAAGGGAATCTAGTGGCTTCTCTTTTTTCATTTTATCAGAAAGACTGGCTGCTTTGAAAAACGTTTAGGTATGATGACAGACACAAAAAACATTGATAATCCAGATTGCCATAGATGGTTTCTCTGTTGGCGTAATTAATAATCTATTTTTGGGAGTGTCTGAATTCCATCTAAAGCAGCATTTCCCAAATTGATAATACCTTGATATTTTGGATTATAATTCCAATCAGTATTGACTATTTACTATAATGGCTAGCTGCTAGGTCTTTTAAGAAACACAAGCCAAGAACATCTGGAGGATTCTAACTCAGGGACATTTGGAGAATGTTAAATCCAGCAGGCATAGGAAGCAAAGTTACCTTGGTAGCAGTTTGCAAGCCTTTTGTTTGTTTAGACTGATATATGTACAGAAATAACCTAACTCACATCCTGGTTAGTTTTAACTTGACACCTACCAATGTGATTATACTATACCACTGCTTTGCCATTTCAAAGGTTTATTTAAAACTTAGAAGATTATTTTCCAAATGTGATGAATCAAATAAAGTCAAGTCTGTGCTTACAATACAGAATATTTTGGTGGTTGACATTTGGGCACATCCAGAAAAGCTTTCTTGGAATCTCTATTATAAACTTTTCAGCACCAAAATAATATTAGAGAAATACAAATCATTTCGAACACCAAACAACCAGTTTGAATTGGAATAAGTTGCTCTGAATGCAAAACTAGCTATCATTTCTGCAAATACTCATTGTTTTTGAGCTTGAAATACTCCCAAGCTAGTCAACTTCTATTCAAATGACCAAATGACCACTTAACACGATTGCATGAATTTGAGTTTGAAATGTCCTGCATACCCCCAGTAAATTCTTTTTCATTTTCCTACCCTTTTCAAACTTCACTATTTTATTATTTTTAAAAGATACCAGTAGCTTTAGTAACTTTTTGAATCTATTTTTATAGCTCTTATGATACATTTCAACAGTGGTAGTGTAATTTTCATAAAATCAAGAATCATTCCGTTATTTAATTTTTAAAAAGGTACAAACACCAGCACAAATTTTCAGATGTGTGTTGATATACATTTGTAAAGTATTTCCATTACAATGGATTATTCAACATAATCATTATTTAGTATGATGGTGATAAAATTTAACACAAAATGCTGAAGGAAGATAGTATGCAGAAAAGAAAAGATAATCATTTGGCAAGCCAAAGCAGCATAAAAGGGAGCATTGTACTTAGCCATTGCAGTTAATCACAAGTCAAGGAAGTATTGCCAAAGATGGGAGTTAGTATTGAATCAGTAAAGCCATTAATTGCTTAGACCTCTGAATACCTTTGGGAATAACTAAATCATTCCCTTGTCCAGCCAGTCTGCAGGCTGCAGCACTGCTAGGCGATATAACAGGAGACATGGGTAATGATGAGGGACCTGGAAATGGGACATATGCCATCAACATCCATCTTCATTTAATCAATCTATTTTTAATGCACAAAATATTGGTGAAACTGAAGCAAATCTTGAAGTGAATTAGACTTTGAATTTAGGACTACTTTAAACAAAAGGCAATCTATTACATTCTTCATATGGTGACTAAATCACATAGAGAGCTATTTTGTGGCTACTCATTAGATTCTCAACCACAGTTTGTTACCAATTGCTGGTGGCATATACATTTTAATGCTGAAATCACTGTATTAAATTGAAGGCTACAGAATACTCCTTATTCTAGCCTTTTACATTTACTAATAGTACACAGTGAATTCTGTTACCTTGAAAAGGTCCAACTGCAATAGCCCCTTCCTGGGTACTGTCAAAGCCATGAGACGTGATCTGTGTTTCGGACAAGCCAAGTCCAGCTGGCAAAGAACGCTTCAGCTCCTTAGAAATGTTTGAATAAAAGGGAATATCCATGTAAAAATCCCAAATAAGGGAACACTTAGGCATAATAGCAGTCTAAGTCATCTTGAAGATATGTGTTCTACAGTTTGAAATCTATTTTATGGTGTCATGATGTTCTATTTTAATGACAACATAATGCTCAATTACAGCTGTTTCCAGGTTTAAGAGTCCCCTTGTGTAACCTGGACCAATTTATTCAAAACTGGAAGGCATTTTTCAAGACTGATACTATGTAAGTCTTCTGCAAGGAAGAGTTTTCTAATACAGGATTAACTGTTTGAAGAGCTGAGATCAATCACAAATACATTTATGGATAAAACTTCTATTGTCTAATAGTTTAATTAAACAACTGGGGTTGCTTAGATAGGAAAGTTAAGCCACTAAATTATGGCTTGGTATCAAAAATCAGTGCATATCTTTGTAGATTGCAGATACAAAAATCTTAAGATAATTTAAAATATAATGAGAGTCAATTTTAACAGTCCTTTTCTTTCAGCTATTCTGAAAATAAGTATTTGAGCAACAAACCAGCTATCCTTGCATATAATCTGCACTCTTGCTTCTGTTGATGAAATTTCTCCATCAACAAAATAGCTTCTGAATCTACTTCTTTCTACAGTGAATTATGCATTGGAAGTGCCTGGGTACTTGTGTGATTGTTTAACTCAGTGGTAGTCAACCTGGTTCCTACCGTCCACTAGTGGGCGTTCCAGCTTTCATGGTGGGCGGTACGGGTTTTGTCCGATATTGAAGCACTTTCCTTTTTAAAATTTAATTGACTTCCCTACTTTATAAATCACCATTACTGTGGAACCGGTGGGCGGTTAGAAAATTTTACTACTAACAGAGATACAAAAGTGGACGGTAGGTATAAAAATGTTGACTACCCCTGGTTTAACTGGTGTCAACAAAACCTTACTGAGTAGATGCCTGACTGTACAGTCTACTATTTTATAATAGAATAGAATAACAGAGTTGGAAGGGACCTTGGAGGTCTTCTAGTTCAACCCCCTGCCTAGGCAGGAATCCCTACTCCACTTCAAGCAATGGTTATCCAACATCTTCTTAAAAGCTTCCAGTGTATACAATGAATACAATGAACTATACACTTGTCTGTTCTATAATATTTAAGCCGGTCATCAAACTAAAACAATATTTAACTGAATGATGGATGACCATTTGTAATTGACAGGTCAGCAGAATATGACATTTTAATTTGCAGCACATCTGCAAAACCAGACTTTGATAATCTACTGTATTTGCTTGGATAAATAACTGAAATCCTGCCATATTATAGCATTCCACTGGAGGATGAAGACAGAAACAAGCAAAACAAAGATCTATGCACAGATAATCCTCGACATACAACCAAGTCAAAGCAGGGAACTTATGATCTGAATTCAAAATTAATGGTTGGGGCCCCTTGAAGGTCCCATGACCAACTTTTATGATCATTACAACATGCAACCTTGATGGGCAGGCTTCATTCAGTCATACGTAATAAGTTACCAGTGTGTGATATGTGCAGAAATCTCTTGGAATTTGTCTAAAAACCTAAATAGTTATGGCCAAATGATATATGCAAGTGTAATTAATTCCGTAGTCAATACATTACCATTATTTAGATGGAACAGAAATATGCATATTAACAATGTTTACAATAGGGTTAAACTATAGAGAAATCCACAAAATTTACAGAAACTGGAATATTGTAAAGATAGCATTGAAACCAGTCTTTGCCATTAAGCATTATAGCACACTTAAAAGATGTCTTTAAAATAAATTCAGACAGTAATTTATTAATGAATCATTTTCTCTTTTTTTCAGTTATGTTACTTTCTGGTTCAGTTGACTAAAATACTATTTTGACTTGCATTGTACCAAAAGAATTTCCCTAGAGCTCGCTGTTTTTCAGATATGAAGGGTGATTACTTCCCCTATCGCAAATGAACAAAGAAGCTTTTTATTTTTAATTGAAGTCGAATTAAGGTGTCTCTAGCACATATCTTCACCATTGATACTGGTGTGTGGCTGGTATTAGTTCTTTTTAAATACCATATTTTTTGGAGTATAAGACGCATCCTTTTCCCTCAAAAAAGAGACTGAAAATCTGGGTCCATCTTATACACTGAATACAGCATTTTTTGCCTCCCAAAGCCCCGCCCCTTCACCAAAATGGCCGTGCATAGCTTGAAGGAAGTTTTCAGAGAGCTCCTGGGGGCTGGGGAGGGCAGAAATGAGTAAAAAAATGGGTGGATTTTGCTCAATTCCCCCACCCAGCCCCCAGGAGCACTCTATAAGCTTCCTAATGCTCTTTTCTTGACAAAAATGGGCCTGTTTTTGCAAAAAATGGGCTGCTTTTGGGAGGTTTGCAGAGTGCAAAAACTTTTTTAAAAAAATTTGCCTCTTCAAAACCATGGTGTCTTATACTCTGGTGCATCTTATACTCCAAAAAATACAGTAATTCTTTTCAAGTTTGAGCATAAGAATGTATCCCTTGACTTCCCTGGATCTTTATAAGTTAGTGTGCTGTGCTTTCTGGGGATTTCCATAAATATCACAGATTCTCTCTCAACCCTTTCCACGCCCATGTTCTGGCAACTGCAAAATATTTTCTTATTTCTTACAAAGTGCCAAGGTTTTACAGCAATGAACAATAAGCAAGAATAAAGCTTTGATCATTTACAAGATTCAGTCTTTATGGAAAAGCTGTCAGCTTTAGTTTCAAAGCCTCAATGTTAATGACCATAATAGGCCTGAAAGTATGCCAGAAGTCTGCCTTCATTGTTCATTTGACTGCCTCCAAAAATTAGAACAGACAGACAGATATAGTTTCACCATTTTTTTTTCAAAGTCTGGTTGGCATAGAACACTTGCCAGGCTCATATTTATTCCATTTTAAACTAATGGGATGGCTATTTCAAAGTACAGAATATTCAAAATTGGTACATATTACTGAAGCTGCACTTCATCTTAATTTTTCATTTATGTCTGTCTTTTTACCTCTTTTTTAACACCAATATTTATTAGAAGGACATCTGCTGCATCACTTTGCCTCTGAGGTAACATTAATTACTAGTGACCTGGTTTGTACATAACAGTAAGGTATAAGATAATTTCTGACTTCTTCTAGAGAACTTTTCATCCTGGGCCACACTCTCTGTATAAATCTCGCTGCTCATCAGAGATGCAGAATTTAAAATTGTAACTTGCTTTTACTAAATGTGTAAAGACTTAATAAACTAATCTTTTTGTTGTTTTGTTACCTACATTTGCTGCGTTTCATTTTGCATAGGAAACAACATTTTTACAATAATAAGGCACAGCCACAATCTTCATGTGCATGTTCAATAACTTGCACAGCCTATAAACACCCCATAAAAACCATATTCATATTTTAATAATGCACCAATTATATCTATCTTGATACATTACATTTTTCAACATTTTCACAGGACATTAATTTTTATCATTTTCTTTTCTTGGACTTTTACAGCATTCATTTCTGTTCCACTCTTTTACATATCATGAATGCAAATCTCTAAAATAGTCTGTCTAGCATTTTTCACTTCAATTTTATCATCATCAATTCTATTTTAAATTTCACTCATGCTGCTAGATTGAGCTCCCTTTTTAAACCCTCTACATTTTAAAAACAAAACAGATACGAATGATTGTTTAGTTTGTTCTGTTTTATGTATCGCTCTAGACATAAAATACCCAAATACCCTGACACAAGTTGTCAATTTCTTGGATTGCTTAATCATTAGTAAACCTGCATTATTGTCAAGCAATTCAGGGGATGTTTATAGATTCATACCCTGTTATAGTCGAGCTCATGTATGTCTTCCAATTCTCCATTGCTTGTCACAGAAATCTCTGCTGCTGAAGTTTTGGGGGATTCCTGAGCCATTGAGCACGCCTACAATATGAAAAAAGAGCATTAGCTTTCCTCAAACATAATCAATATTCAGTTTTTGGACATTCAGTATTTTTTTCCGGGCAGGGCAGTAAATGGAAGAAATCTTGCTATATCCAAGGTGTGTATTATATCATATATGTATATTATGAGATATGCTGTTACTAAGCTTTGTTTTTTACCTTCAAGTCTGTGTTGACTCTGGGTGACTGCTTGAACTAGTCCTTACTAATTTTTTTGGCAGGCTTGTTCAGAGGTACTTTGTCATTGCTTCTTCCAGGGGCTGAGAATGAATGTCTGGCTCAAGGTCATCAAGCTGGCTTCAGGGCTAAGGCAGAATTGAACTCACAGTCTCTTGGTTTCTAGTTCCCTTAACTCAAACTTGATTTCATTGACAGTCGCATCAGGGTTGTGTTTAACTTTGGGGAGCTGTGGTGGGTGTGGCCAGTATGATGTCATTCATGTCAGGGCCACCTGTGGCTGCCCCCCAAGCTCCATTTTCACTGGCAGAGGGTTGCAGGAAGCTGTCCCAGCCAAAAATGGAGATTGGGAACCTGTTTTCGCTGGTAGAGGCACCGTGGGCCGGTCATTTGCTGTTTTCAGGCTGGCCCCACGGGCCAGAGCTAAGCACCCTGCAGGCCAGATCCAGCCTGCAGGCCTTGAGCTTGACACCCCTGCCTTAACCACTACACCAAATTGGCTCTCTGTTACTATATTGCTGGAATCTAAATAAGCAACTATGCATCCATTGTCGGGGTTTCCCACCAAAACAGTATATTTATTTATTTATGAAATTTATAGTCTAAAGTTACCCCCTAGCATATGACATATGTAGAATGACATATAATCACAATATAAAATTACAATCTAGCACAGTAGTTATGAATAAATGATGCTGAAAGAATGTAAGTGAATCACACCATAAGTATTAATAACTCAATATTTATTAAGTAATAAGTATTATTGTCAAATGTTAATTAAATTATTAATGTGCTATAAGCATATCTGATCATGCAAAATAGACAGTCTCAATGGCACATGAAACTGTATTGCTCAATTTCTCCCTTCAAACTTACAGAGGATTAAAAGACAATTATTATAGTTCTCTTGTATCCATGTGAGTCTTGGAACGCTTAGGATGAACCACAACTAGCAGCATCCCTTACCCTTAGTTACTCTGACTAGTATTGATAAAAGATGTACATTAAACATTAGGAGGGCTTAGTGTCCCAGTCTAAACAAGTAATGTTTACAACAAATGTTAACCTCACTGTGATGGGTGGTTGTTGGGATGAGTAAAAAATACTCACAATATAAACCAAAAGTATATACTCCTTGTAGGCTCACCCAAGGCATGAAGGTGATACTAGGCACCCAACTAAAGCAGGCAGCACCTATACCAGGCAGCATTAATGGGAGAAAGTGATCCTGTATTTTATTAACAAAATTACATGAATAGATGAGTTAAAGTAACTGACAATATAATGCCAGATGACTGGCCTCTCCATTGCTTAATATGCTACTGAGGAAGAACTTAGGACTTTTAGGGGTAAGAATGGCTTATTATTAATCTGACACCACTGGACAATATAGTTCAGATGAAAAGAATCAATTATATAATGCCATCAGAATGGAATTAGACACCTTCATTAAGAAGTTCATAGTTCACTATTCAGAACATGAAAAATAAAGATGAAACAGCATCGTTTTCATAGTTAGGTGGAATATAGTAAGGCATTACTTGGAAATACTTTGGTCAATGACCAAACAATATCAAATAGTGGACAACTCTTGTATGTGCCACTGATGGAAAAGTGGAGGTTGATAAGTTTTATGGTCAACAGACCATACAAGCAAGAAGTGATCTTTGTAGTTGGAGACTGGAATACCAAAATTTGAAATAATAGGGAGGAAACTGTAGATGGGTTGTATGATGTAGAAAACGGAAATGAAACCAATTAAATTACTTCTTCATTATAGCAGGGGTAGCTTTGCTTTGCTGGCTGAGGAATTCTGTGAGTTGAAGCCCACAAGTCTTAAAGTTGCCAAGATTGGAGACCCCTGAATTATAGTATTCAAGTAATCAAAATGAATACCTCCCCTACACACATACCCAAACACACATAAGAAAGAAAAATGACAAAATTAGTGGTAGAAGAAGATAGAAATATTGTTTTAACAGTAAAAACATGGCCAGGGACTGATTGTGGAACAACACATCATGAAGTAATCATTTGCAACTTCCAAGTCAAAGAAAAGCAGGACAAAATTGATTAGTTACCAATATACAGCATTTTGAAAGCCCACACCAGGCCTGAAATTCATTATTAGAGAATCAGAGAAACTATAGAATGAAATCAAGGTTGTTAAGGATGACTATGAAAAGAGATTGCAAAAGACTAAGAAATATTAGAGAGCAAATTGAATATCAGAACAAATTAGGAAAATGGCCAAGAAGAGAAACCAAAGCCAAGAAAGATAAAGATCACAAGGAGGAATTATACAAAGCGTTTCAGAGAGCTGTTACAAGAGACAAGTAAAGATACTAAATATAGAAACAGGGAACATTTCCAAAAGATTTCTGAACTTAGAAAGACCTTTTAACTTCAAATTGGTATTCAAATTGGTATTCTGAAGATCAATAGACAATAGACTTTGCTGGCAGAGGAATTCTGTGAGCTGAAGCCCACAAGGGATTCAAGTAAGATGAAATGAAGATGGAAGAAGTACACTGAAATTTTGTACAGTAAATTTATTAACTTTCAAGATTCCTTAGAACAAAGTTTTCAAAACTGTGAGATGCTGACGGAGTCCAGGGGAAGTGTGAAGAACCTTTTAGTCCATTATTATAAATCCACTTTTCCCAAAGTTCGTTTGTTTCCCAAATTATATTGATTTTGTTGTTCATTTGTGCTCATTTTGGTGTTTAGATTTCTAGGGACAGTGTATACTAAAGAGAGATATGATGGTAAAAAGTTCAGAAGCTCTACTTTAAAAGATATTCCCTATTTACAAGAAGCTCTAGTTCCAGAAGATGAAGTTAAATTAACGTCTAGTCATTGTTTATTTATTAGATTTGTATGATCATCAACCCATCTCAGAGCACAACTCTGGGCAGCTCACAACAAAAATTAGTAAAGGTTACAGAACATGAATAAGTCAATGTTCCAACCAAACTATGTTAACAAATCTGGAGATTGACAGTCTGACCAATCCAATTAAAAGATTGACGCATATGTATCAATGTCAAAGAAAGATTTAACAGATTGTGCAAACTATCATACACTATTCTTAATTTCACATGGTATCAAAATAATAGTATCTTCAAATGCAAACTAAACCCAGGCAAATATTGGATGTTCAAGATGGTTTTAGAAAAGGGCAAGGAACAAAAGACATTATTGTAGATTCACACTAGATAATTGAGAAGCCAAAGAACAACAACAAAAAAGATAAACATGTGCTAAATTGATTACAGAATGGTGTTAAATTATGTTGACATCAAGCTATGGGCTGTCCTTATGAAAATGGGAATCCAACAACATCCCCGTCCTTATAAAAAAACTTATATATAGGTCAGGAAACCACTGTCTGGACAGAAAATGGCAACACAGATTGATTCCAGGTTGGCAACAGAATGCATACTTAAGCAGTGATGAGCTTTTGGGCTGAAAGGCCATGGTCTAGTTTGGCCATTTAGACAACAGCCGCCCAGCCTGAAAACTCATTACTACTTAATTGATGGCTGCTATGAAAGTTGTACCAGTATACAACTACATATTCTTTCCTTATTTATCCAACCTATATGCTGAATATATATTGAGGAAGACTGGATTGGAAGATGAGCATGGTTTTAATACTGGAGGCAAAACATCAATAACCTGTGCTGATGATGAAAATGTAAATGTAAATGATCTGCAAGCTCTAGTAATGAAAGATACAGAGTAAGAAAGATGACCTAATAAAGCTGACAGAAAATCAAGAAGCACAGTGAAAAAAATGTGACTAAGATTAGAAACAGAAAGCCAAATCAATGACAACAAGTAAGGTGTGTACTATTTCTGTCTTTTTGTTGTTGTTGATATGTTCTGTTACATTAATAAACCTGTTTACTCTCCTGATATTTATTTTTGGAGTAATACAGGTAGGGACCACTGGTTCAGTGGCCATTCAAAGTTGCAAGAGTGCTGAATGAGGAGTCTTATGGCCAATCCTTAAATTCAAGCACTTGGAGACCAGTGCACAACACTTGCAGTGCCCACACGCTCACATGATTGCTATCCGCAACATTCATTGCCAGCTTTCGAAAGGCAAAGCTAGCAGGAAGTTGCAAGCCATGGTCATGTGACATTGTACTTAATAAACCCATGGTCCAATTAACAACAGCAACCAGAAGTGCCACTGTAAGTCAGTGGAGTCATATTATTATTATTATTATTTTGCTATATGATATTACTCAGTTGCAGAATTTCTGTCCCAATTATGGCAGGGGATTAACTGGGGATTTCCTATTACCTGTTTGGTCAATGTGTATTATATCTAGGATGCAATTCTAGCATTCAACTAAGGTAGTATTGCTGCAAAAAATTATAATCTACATTCAAGAAAGAAATTGGTCTGTATTTCGCTGATCATTATGTTATTTGTAATTTAAACCTATACAACGCCTCTTTCCATATTGGCCATATTGTCTTTGCCCCTTTAATTTAATTCCTTGTGTTTGTCATTGGTTGCAACAGTTCTTCTCAAATTCTTTATAATATTTAGCTCTCAACCAGAAATCTGATGGTTTTCCAAGTCTGATTTTTTTTAAAAAAAATAATGCTTTTTTTGTTTGACACAGAGTACCAACATTAAGGAACCAGCATCTAAGAAATATGTTATGTAGTACTTAATTGGCTAGCAATAGAGGGCTCCAAAAATATTCAGGTCTCATAATGTATCTGTATCTACAAAAATCAGCAATGGTTTTTCCCCTGTAACTTTTTGAGTAAGGAAAAATTGAGATCCAAGGGAAAGAGAACAACTAGAAGTGAGCCTGATGGACTGGACCAGTGTTTTTCAACCACTGTGCCGTGGCACACTAGTGTGCC